ATAGGCGGCGATGCTGGGTGCGCGCAGAAGCGCGCGCGTGCGATACGAGCGCGCGAAGCCTAATGCGCCGAGGGTTAGGCGAGCGTGAGGCGGCGCGCATAACGCGCGAGATGGGGCGGTGTGATGGAAGGCGGTCGAAGGTTTTTAGATAGGAGCATTCTAGAATTGCTTGGTGTGCAAGCCAAGCATTAGTTATTTGGTAGGTTTAGGATTTTATTGCTTTCTAGTGTTAGGATTTCTATTATTGCAAGATTTAGGAGATCTAGTATAGTTAGGCTTAGATTTATTTTGCAACTATAAATACCCCATGTACCTCATCATATTTTACAAGTTGAATGAAGTATTGAATTGGTGAGCCAATCTTGAGGGGGAACTGATGTTCTTAACGTGTGTTTAAACAAGGCCGTTAGTGCGATTTTACATACAGTGTCGGAGAGAAGGCCGTTAGAGCGTCTTGAAGTCACGGTATCTAGGAAAAGGCCGTAGTGCGTCTGTTAGATACACCTATCATGGATAAACGAAGGCCCTGAGTGCGCCGTTTGTTCACAACCCGAATAGAGTAAAGACACGATCCGTCATCACGCAGGCAGTAGCGTGCGCGCGCGCGCAGGGCAGCAGCGCGCACGGGCAGTAGCCAGGGGCAGCGCGCGGGCAGACTTGGCTAGTAAGAAAGTGGGACTTCTAGAAGGCTTTTGGAGCTGAATTTTCCCTAGATCCTTCTTCCCAACTTGGAGTGCAAGCCAAGTTATTTAGTTTCCTTATTGCTTAATAATTTATAGCTTAATTAGGATTTCTAATATTTTATTGCTTTAATAATTCCCTAAGTAGATTAGGACTAGATATAATTTGTGCCTATATAAAGGCCCCTTCCCCTATGTTATTTTTATCCATTCAATCATCCAAGAAGTCAATAGAAATCTAGAACTTTGTTCTTCCTACTTTGCTTTAGTCTTTTCACCAAAATACTACTGCAATTTTATTCGTTTCAATAGGCGCGGTTGTGGCTAGAGAAACACTATCGGCGATTCAAGGCGCGG